TAGGAAGGCTCTAAGACTCTAATTGCCACATTAGTAAAGTGTGCTTGCAATATGCAGGTAGGTGGCAGCAACGTTCACACAAAAAAACCCAAACAGTTTTACTATGCATTGAATAAAGGTCCCCATGAGTTCTTAATTTTAGTGCTGTGTGAACAGCTTTATGTTACCTCTGTGCTGTGTTTGATTCTTAGTTGCAACTGAATTCTATTATATATACATTGTTACTCTTAACAAGAACACAACCAGTGAGGCTGGTTGGGTAGGTAAAGTATGTGACTCTAGATCTCAGAGTTGAGAGTTAGAACCCCACCTTGAAGATAGTTTACTTACAAAAAAATTTTAAATAAATAAATAGAGGAACACAACAAATAGACTATTCTCTGGATCTCCATTTTGTAGCCTATAGTTTACTTCTGATCAGTATAATTCTTAAAAAGGAGTTTTGTCATTTAAAACACATTTAATTTAGATTCACTATGTTGTACTCCTGAAATTAATGTAACATGTCAATCATCCTTCAATTTAAAAAAAAGAAATAAACTAAAAAAAACACAATTAATAACCACAAGCTTAATAATATACTTTCTGCGTTATAATTTTAACCTTGCAAAGACTTATATTACTTTGGTGGTACTAGGCAAAAATTTAAATAATGAATGTTAATATTTATTGATATGGAAATGTGCTATAGAAACACTATATGAAAAATGCAGTTTATCAAACAGCATGTACTAATCTGATTATATAAATACACGCAACTAGAGAAAATGTGCCAAAATAGTAATGGGACCTATCCAAACAGTGCTCATGGTGGATGGTGGAATAGCGTGTGATTTTCATTTTCTTCTTTATGCCTAAAGACTTAAAACTTATATAAGTTTTCCATTTATGAGAAAAATAAATTATTTTAAGTATTTATAGAACATGATATATGTTTGTCAATTCAAGTGCCTGTAGAGATTCATAAACAAAGTGCCCACACTGTAGCTTGCAGGCAATGCCTAGCCGTAAGAGATATAAGGGGTGAGAGAAGTAGGAAAATAAACTGCAACCAAAGACATGAAGCAGAAATGATGTGCTGTTGTCACAGAGAAAAATTGTCAGATACTGTAGAGTGTTCATGTTTGCAAAATGGTACTAGATTATGGAGCACCTTCAATGTTAACATAATTTTTCACTTCTTCCCATAGATAGTGCAGAACTATATATAGATCAGGGGGTCAATTCTATAGAATCGAATTCATAATAGTTAACTGAGGCCAAAAAGGGGAACTACTAATAGGCATTTATTGGTTTACCTAATTGTTGGGGAGGGATGGAGAAATAATGTATTTGGGGCTTTCAGGAATGATTCCCAAAGACACACTACGGAAGTGAACCACCAAAAGCCAGCTGCTGCAAATTGAAGACTTGGGAAGCTGATGCTGATGCCGGAGTCTCCAGAACCATAGTGATACTGCTTAATCAGGAAGTCACTGCAGTTACAAAACTGCCATGTCTAGGAAGACACGATAAATAAGAAGTCTCCATGAGCAGGAAGCCTCCTTATTGCTTCTGGCTCCAGAAACACACCATACCTGTCATTATAGGTATCAGAAAACTGATGTTCCATGCTTTGACTATCACCACCATGAAACCAGGGATTGAATACTGGGACTTCTGATAGTATTGCCACAGAAAAATGAGATGTCTCCCGACCATGCTTCCCTCTAGAAAAAAAAGCCAAATTAAGAATAAATTCTGACTCTGTTCTTCCTTGCTAATATGGAATGCACCCCAGCTCCAGCTGCAGAAAAGTCTGGATATGTCATTTTTAGCTTTTCAGCCTCTGCAGTTAAGAACGGCACACTGGAAGGGGCTGGAATGGATATTGAGCACCGATCTACCTCATCCCATAAAACAGCAGTAGTGGATCTTAAATGAAGTGAAAAGGAAGAAAAATGTAGACCGAACATTTCTATATATTGAGCTTGATGTGGTTAAAACCAAATTCATTATTGCTCTTTCCCCCCAAACTATCAACCTATCTGGAGTTTTGAGTTTTTATTAAAGCTACCATTATACTATGACTTACGTCATTTAGAAACTAGTATGTGTCCTGTATCTATGTGACATCCAAGAAATATTTCTCAGTCATATAAATTACACCCTACACTGCATAAATAGTGAGAACATATAACTAGAAAAACTCTTATAACCTAGATGCAACTCTTTGAACTAAAAATTGTGTTAGCAAATTAAACCACTCTGACAGGGCTACTAATATCACTTCTACAACAGTGATTCCTCGCCTTTTTTTTTCAGTCCCAAAAGACCTAGTAGAAATATTTTTTAAATAATAATGACTCACCATGGCAGAAAGTATTCCACATAGTCATTAAAATTAAAGATGTATTCTTCAGTTATGGATCGTAAATGTAAATGTATTCAATTCAAACATCTTCAAAATTTACTGCAATGAATTGTGATGAAAATGGCAAAAAGCATCAATAAACATTAAGTAAAACAAAGGTCAGAAATTTGGAAGTACAGGAGAGGGTTTGGGGGCTCCTATACAGACTTATTGATTGAATCAATTCTGATAAGTGGATAATAAAGTACTTTAGAGAGCCTTAACTGTTGTAAAAATGTGCATTCATTCATTTGAATTGCATTATAACATCAATGACTCAAAAGAGCACTGAGATTTTGGTGTTATATGAGTTACTCTTATATTCCATTCAAAGTTGTTGAACTGTATTAGCCATGTACCTGATGTATAACAAACTCCTGTGTACAGATACTGATGATGGCTATAATAATTGGACTTAGTGAGTGTGTAGTAGTGAGAATCCATCAAAGTGTTTTAAGCAGGGGAGTGACTTGATTAGACTGCATTTTAAATGAGTCAGAGAAGAAAAAGGGTGAAAAGTGGACAACTGAGAAACATATTGCTGCTCTGGAGACAAGAAGGGAAGAAGCTGTGAGCCCAGATAAGTTAAATGGTTTGTTCAAGGTCTCTGAGCCGGTAAAAACAAAATTGGCTTTTCTCTCTACACCCAAACACTTTTTCTACTATGATTCCTTACTTACAAATCCATTATTCACCACCTAAAATCTGAGATATCTCTAAGAGCATTTCCATTGTAATGATGCAGTTGGAAACTATGGACAGATCTAACTGGCTAATCATGTTTCAGCAGGATTTTTGCAGTCTTGTAGTTATTTTTTTCGGAAGACATAATTTGAACATTGGTATATTAACTATTAATGTGACTTGCAAATCAGCAAACCAAAGCATCTTAGGCTGATAAACTGGCTTTTCTTTAATTTTGCTTATTTTTTTTAAAGGTAAGAGAGACATAATTAACTAGATGATTATTTCTCAGAAATATTGCTACGTTTACATTTTTCTAGAAGCATTCTTTTCTCCCATGAAACTCTCTGGCCATAAAGCCAGTGACTGCTTTTCTCATATTCCAACTACTGTTAGCTCGCAGCATCCTGCCTCGCTTCCCTTTTTCTTTCCATTCTCAGTCCTTATCCCTTCTTTCCTTTCCTCCCTGTTACACCAGCTACCAGCTGCCAAGAAGGTGGATGAGGTCATTTATCAAATCAGGAGGTGTTTCTTTGTCATTCAATTCATTTTCCTATTACATTGAAACTAAAAATTAGCATGGTTTTGTCTCAAAAAAATAAGCTCAACTTATATTGAAGGTTTATCTTAGAAGGTTTGAGTAATAATAGGAAGCAGGTCTTGAGATAATATAAAAGCAAAGGAGTAATTTTGAATCTTCAACTCCCAATATCTGTTTCCAACCATTTTCATTTTGGTGATGCATTAAACACTCTCCTCTAGTTTACTGATAATCGGTCTGTATTGTTATACCTCACTTTGTAGACACTTTGGCTGCGCATATTCAATGGAACCCCTAGTGGTGGAGAAAACCATGTAATGTCTCCACTAGGAAAGGAGGAACAAACTGAGATTCCTGCCTTATTTTGATTTCTAAGAATCAACTGCTCTAACTGGGGACAATGCTCAGGCCTGGGCTATACTAAATCTAGAATAAATCTTAAATACAGAGTGTGAAATAAGAAATGGTGGAACTTCTCAGGATCCCTGCGAAACATACCAGTATTCCTTCCATGGTTCCCTTCTCCCATCATTCCTTGCACAGTGCTGGGCCAAATCCAGTCTCTCATGGACCCTTTCCACATGCAGCTACTGAATGCATTTTGGCCCCAGTGTAGCTCTCTAAATCTCACTAGATAACTGTAGAGACCCCCATCCATGCATTATAGCATCAGTGATCCACAACTCAGAAAGCATACAAGAACAAAAATTTTTAAATATTATAGCTTTCTCTGTCAGACAGATTTTGCCAAACATCAACTGGTAACCCACAAACCCAAAAATTCTTATTGACAAAAAAGTAAAAAAATCCCATGTTCCCATCACTATGGTTTGTAGTTAGTGGACCATCAAAATGGGCATGGGATAAGGAACTCCAGTTTTTAAAAAAATGTAAACGAAGCTCAGTCCTAAAAGATTTACAACACAAATAGTACTAATAAAATTATCCTGTGAAGTGATTTTTAATGAAGTGGAGTTAATTCAAGTCATGTCTTCTAGGCATGAAAATGGAAAGCAATAAATAAAAAAAGGTGGAAGAAAACAAATGTGACCTTGATGACTCTTCCAAAGTCCATAATCACCACATTGGTTCCTTTCATCCCCCGGTGATGTTAATCTTCTGTTTATTTTGCTACTGTAATCCTAAGTAATTCTAAATTTACCCAGAGATTGCCCTTTCAAATTTGGTCTATGCCTGTTCTTTCTCACCTCACAAAAAGTAAAGGAAAAAAAAGTGGTGTGTGTGTGTGTGTGTGTACTGTTGGTGGTTAAATATCGAGTTGGGACTTCCTCTTTGAACAGTTGCTTTTTCCTCTTACACAAAGGAGATCTCATTTTGTTTGAGCCTGGATATAGTTGAAACCAAACCACACACCGAGAGGGTATGATGGCTAAGAAGCCCCCAACACCAGCCCCTCGCAGGATCTTCCAAGAAAGGTTAAAGATTACTGCTCTACCTTTGTACTTTGAAGGGTTTTTGTTAGTCAAGAGGTCAGAATACCAGGTAAGTCCATAGATGATAATGTTAAACCAGCAGTTTCTGTCTTAACATAAAAGTAATTTCATGGTGATTTGATGTGATGTGACAAGGGCCTCCTTGTTTCTGTTGCTATTAAACCCTCTTCCTTGGGGCGCCTGGGTGGCTCGGTCATTAAGCGTCTGCCTACTGCTCAGGTTATGATCCCAGCTTCCTGGGATCGAGCTCCGCATCGGGAAGCCTGCTTCTCCCTCTCCCCCCCACCCCCCCCGCTTCTGTTCCCTCTCTAGCTGTGTCTCTGTCAAATAAATAAATTAAATCTTAGAAAAAAAAAACAAAACCCTCTTCCTTGAGCTCAGAAATATGCCAATTTTGCACAATTTAAAGACAACGTATGGCTTGAACACATACACGTATATATATCTGTATTATATATAACATTCTAATGTTAAGTGAGGTGATGTAAGAAAATTTAATAAGCTACACTTCCAAAGAATTTATTTAAACATTACAGAAGATTTCCACTTAGAAGATAAAATGTTTCCTATATTTTTTCTGCAATTTACTAGTATGCTTCCACGATGACGTGTATCATTAAGATAACATACTATGACTGAAATTAAGCATTTTGCTCCTACTCTCATTTATTTGAAGTTTACAAATAATGATAAAATTATCTTTTAATAGTAAACTTTTGTAAAAAATTATGAAAATGATAAAATTGATACTGTTTAACATTATGCATAGTTATATATTCTAAAAACATTAACATAGTGACTTGAAAAGCTAATATGTAAGTGCAGTGTGGGTAATATATACACAAAGCTACATAAATACATTCACTCTAAGAAAATGCAAAAAGCATTTCGTATTTTTTTTTTTAAGATTCATTTATTTGACAGAGAGAGAGATAGCGAGAGCAGGAACACAAGCAGGGGGAGTGGGAGAGGGAGAAGCAGGCTTCCCGCCGAGCAGGGAGCCTGATGTGGGACTCGATCCCAGAACCCTGGGATCATGACCTGAGCCGAAGGCAGTCGCTTAACCAACTGAGCTACCCAGGCGCCCATTTCGTATTTTTTTATATGTAAAAATGAAAACTTATAATTAGTTAAAATCAGTGTTTTTAAAATACCAATTATGGAGAATTTGAAATTAATGAGAGAAATAAACATGAAAGTGCCTGTTATTAATGAAAAAGGAAATAATTAAGTTAGGTCAAATTTTATGAAATTTTAATACTAACAAAGTAGAAAAAAATTGTTTCAAGAAATGTCACAAGAAATGTTTAATAACGATAACAGGATATATTTTCTGAAGATTTATTAACAGAAAAATTGTGTATGTGAAAATATCTGTAATACCACATTCTGGTTTTTTTTGCAAAGACATGGTAGCTTACCTTCTGTTATGGGTGTTAAACATATATTAGTAAATTTGGCAGCTACATTAGAATATTTTTCATTCCTCCTTTATGCTTTTAAAGTGAATTCTATCTTGTTACAACAGGTTATCCACATAGTTACACTTTGCCAGGAAACTGGAATTGGGAAAACAAAATTTCTGATTTGTAATTTAAATTTGGTTATTCTTTAAATAGCTATCAAAGTATTTATAATAACTGCTTCTGATATTGGGGTTTTAAGAAAATATTTAAAGAAGGCATTCCATTGGTATGGTTAACAGAAAGAACAAGGATTTTAGAGAGTCAGTAAAATATGTCTTTACCTAATGGTTTTGCCACTTAAACAGCTTGTGATCTTGTACAAGTTATCCTATCTCCTTGAGATTCAATTTTCTCAAACTATAAAATGGAAAAAATATGACTTGCTACCCAAGGTACTATGCCTGGGATACAACAGGTGCTCAATTAATTTATTCATTCAAGCAATGTTTATTGTGTGTCTCCTATGCACCAAGCATCATATGGACTTCTAGAGAATATAAACATAACACGAAGACCCTACCTTCAAGAGGCTTAGTTTATAGTAAGGAGGGATGACTCCCTTACCTGATTGCTACTCTACCTTTTCTTAGAAAGCATGCTTTGAAATGGAAAGAATAAACTATAGGTATAAATATTTCTGATAAAATTAGCTTGTGTTTCCACTTGAATTCAGAGCAACGTATCTTTTACTTGTATGTCAAGGAGAAGAGAGCAAGAGGACAATAATGTCGATTTACAGGGTGGTTTTAAGGATTAAAGAGATAACATATAAAATACCTGGTTTACACTAAAGATTAGATTCATTCTCCTTCCATTTCATTATTTATCATATTCTTATTAATATACTAAAATCAGTTTTAAGTCCATAAGTACAGTTGACCCTTAAACAGCATAGGTTTGAACTGTGTGGGCCCACTTACATTTGGATTTTTTTTTTAATAAATACAGTACAGTGTTGTATATGTATTTTTTCTTCTTGATGATTTTCTCAATACCATTTTCTTCTCTCTAGCTTACTTTACTATAAGGATACAGTATATAATACATATAACATATAAAGTATGTGTTAAACGACTGTTTATGTTACTGGCAAGGCCTCTGGTCAACAGCAGGCTATTAGTAGTTAAATTTTTCTGGAGTCAAAAGTGATATGCAATTTTCAACTGTGCAGGAGGGTCAGCACCCCTAACCCCCCCGCATTGTTCAAGGGTCAACTGTTAATATGGCTCAAAGGAGAGCCACAGGGCTAGAGTGCTAGAAAATGAAAGGTGGGAGAAAAAGCTAAGGAAAATACAGGGATTTCTAGGCAAGCAGCAGCAAAGTGCCAGGGAACCTTTGAAAGTGAGGGTGAGTCAGGGGTAATAAAAGATTATCTTTAGGGGCGCCTGGGTGGCTCAGTTGTTGGGCATCTGCCTTCGGCTCAGGTCATGATCCCGGGGTCCTGGGATCGAGCCCCGCATCGGGCTCCCTGCTCCGTGGGAGGCCTGCTTCTCCCTCTCCCACTCCCCCTGCTTGTGTTCCCTCTCTCGCTGTCTCTCTCTCTCTGTCAAATAAATAAAATCTTTAAAATAAATGAAACTTAATTCAAAAAAAAAAAAGATTATCTTTAAAGAAAATGGGCTAGAGGAAGTTGGGATGTTCTGCAGAACATTAAGTGGGATCTTTGCTGCAGGAATTCAAAACATTTAAGCTAGAGAAAATATAACCGAGGAGTAACCTAGTCTGTAAGGAGATCACACATTTAGAGGTGTTTCTTAGCTGTTTTGTGACAGGGGTACTTTTAAGAATTTAAAGAATTTTGTGCCCCTAGGAAAAGGTGCCAACATATACTATTTTAAATATAATTCCAGAAAGTCCACAGATTCCAGGTCAAGAACCCATTAAAAATACATAATCTTCGTGGGAAAGATAATGAAGGAAGACTTACTTAAGCCACAATACTAGAATTTTGGATTGATCAGGAAGATGATAATAAGAGCATGCCACGGCAGGAAACCGATGAAAACACAGTTCTTGCAAATGGGGAAAATTCTCATTTTTCTGGAACTGTTTAAAAAGAGAAAGCTCATAGTTTCTTCAATTTGTGATATGCTAAAATTAAGGACGATGTGTATAATACGTCTTCTTATTAGCCTGAACATAAGAATGTGGTCATCAGGGGCGCCTGGGTGACTCCGTTGGTTAAGCGACTGCCTTCGGCTCAGGTCATGATCCTGGAGTCCCTGGATCGAGTCCCGCATCAGGCTCCCTGCTCGGCAGGGAGTCTGCTTCTCCCTCTGACCCTCCCCCCTCTCATGTGCCCTCTCTCATTCTCTCTCTCTCAAATGAATAAATAAAATCGTTACAAAAAAAAAAAAGAATGTGTTAATCATAATAGTATCAAAATAACGTTTCTCTGACTAGTCCTCTAATTGCCACTAATTCATTGAGAAAAAATTTAGGGCTATCTCAGTTGTGCCCTTAAACATAGTTCTCTATGCTGGTAACCTCCAAATGTTTTAAACAACATACTCCTTTCAAGAAAACATTTTTGAGCACAGATCTCTAATATAAGAATATTAATTTATTTAGAAATTATGTATTGTACTCCTGTACTAATACTTCAAAAAAATATGTCATATATACAGAAAAGTTATTAAGAAAGATAAATGAAATATAATTAGATATCCTAAAAGTTTCTTCCCAGTGGGATTATCTTGCACACTTTTGGAGTTTATGTGCCCCACTTTGGAGACCACTATACAACATCCTTCCTTGAGCAAAGGTACTTGACTTGCTCACAGGAAAAAGAATCGCAACTTTTTATTGGGGACAGGGGATAGAGAGGAGCATAATTGGATTTTGCATGTAATCCATTTTTACTAGTTACATCAATAAGAAAAGAGCGCTGGAGAGCCAGGAGATATAAATATCAGTCCAATTATGGAAGCTGGGCAATTCCCTTAAATCTTTTAATCTGTTTCCTCTTTTGTAAGATAGATAATTACTCTCTTGTATAACTGAATGGGTTGTTGTGATGATCAAATGGACTATATAATAATGGGTATATTTTTTTGAGATACGGACATAAGATAGATACCATACCAGGCTCTTAATGTCCTGTTGCTCTGATTCTCACAGTAACTCTTCTGTGTAGAAATTATTTTATTTACTTCACAGGTGAATGAGCTGTGACACAAAGGTTATGTTCAAGGTTCCTCATCCATTAAGGAGGCTAGCTTGGATTTTATTGAAAAGCATTTGGCATCATGATGCCTCTCAAACTAAACTAATTCCATTTGATTGTGGGCTTCCAAAGGTTGGGGATGTCTAATCACTAGATTCTTTATCATATTGAGCTCAATAGTAGCTCAGTAGACTTTCAAAAACATTTGTTTAATTGAATAAAAATGAGATAGTGACCTTAAACTCTAAATGCAAGGTCAGCTAATAATTATGAAGCTAGCGATAAATTCAAAATCCCATTTCAGTTCCTTTTCTTCAGAAATTCAACACTAATTATTGCTAAAAAATAAAAAAAAAACCTTTGTGCTAAATGTATTTCATTCAAAAATGTGTTCTTCAAAATTAATTTTTAAAAATA